CCCTAAATGTCCCCTTCCAGTCATTACAATAAAATGTAAGGACATCTGCTGTCTTCTTGAAAATAGAGAGATCTGAGAGTTATTTCAACAAAACTCGCGTCACCCGTGAGTAATTTTCTGTAAAAAGTTCCCAGTTATAAGTCATTTTACAAATTTAGTCCCTACATATCAAATATTACTAATTTAGTCTCCAATTATTATATTCATTTTCATGAATGGTCCTTTGTTAACAATTCCGTTAAGAACGTGGATAAAATTGTAAATTCACACCCTTTTCTCTCCTTAATTAAGCTTCCTCCCTCCCCTCACACTCTTTTCCCAAACCTGTCGATGAGTTTGAAGCTTTGAACCCAAAATCGAAATCATCACTCTTCTCATAATTATTTGTCTAACTGGTGGAACCCAAATTCGAAACCAGTAACCTTCATGGATGAGTTTTAATGTTTATTTCTTTGCAATTTCTTGAGACTAACCAATAAGACTAATTATGGAATTTACTCATAAAAAACTACTTTTTTATAGAAATACTTTCATTATGCAATATTTTTCTTTATTCAAATAAAATCTCATGAACCAAGAGCTCTCGTGATTTTTCCCAAACAACTTAAGAACAGCTCATGGTACTTATCAGTAATAATGTGACTAACAACTTCTTTAGTTGTGGCTTTGAATTTTTTGCTCTGTACGTAGTCTCATTTATACCTTCAATAAATTATTTATCATTGGTTAATAACCTCATCAATGCTTCACATGCTTTCTCAAACGAGTTTTGTACAACATTGTTGGTAACCATCTTCAAGCTCTCAGAGCTTGTACATCCCCATTCGACGGTTAAGAGTATTTTAAAATAATATAATTCCCTTGTTTCTATTGACACATATTGCACACGGTCTATCGTTGGTCTTTATTGCATCGCGAGCAATGGAGAAATTATAGTCCCCACAATATGTTATGTTTGATTTAGTAACTAAAAATTTTCTAAACACAAATGCATTAATTAGGATCCTTTATTAAAGAAGATGGATGCATGAAAAATCTAAAGCAATGATTTTATCGTTTAATTACCCATGATTCCTAGAAAACCTAGAGTATTTTTTTATTTTATTTTATATATTTAAATAAGTAAAATAAAAATTAACATCATTCAAGCATTTCATAAACAAATATAAAATTTTAATTTAATCAATTACATTATATAATTGAATTAAATTAAGTATCATATCCTAATATAGAATAAAAAATGATATATTTTTATATTTTATACATAAACATCTAAAACCTATAAACCATAAGTTTTCTAGTAATTAACTAAAATTGTATAATAATTAAAAGATCAAATTTCAAAATTATGTATGATAATTTTTCTTTCTACTTGAACACTATTATAACCTAATCGTCTCTTATTTTTTCAAAATTTTTAATGTAATTTTTAAACTTGGAAACAAATTGGGTGTTTTTAATTTTATATTAATATTAAAAGAAGCAGATTCAAAACTATTTTCATTTTAACTTATCATTAACAAATGCTCTTAAAAATTAAGAGAGTAGCGTATTAATTAATTGAAAATTTTATTTTAAATGAAGAAATAAAAAATACCAAATTATGAAAAATAGTTCTATAAAAATGAATATCGCTATTTAAAAATTAAATTTATTCAAATATTTCTTATCTAATTATTTTTTGCATATATTATGTCTTAAATTAGGTGATATATTAGGTGTAAAATGTCACATAAGTAATGCGCATGCCAACTTTCTATATTTTTAATATTTTTATAAATAAATGTTTTTGTTGAAAAGTAAGAATTCAATCCCATGTCAAATATTATAAAATGGAGTCTAGCTCGTAAGTCAAATGTTGCATGTATACTGCATATTATGCCACATGTCAAGCTCTTATGCATTATAGTTTCAATTTTATATATAAAGGATAAAGGATTTATAAATTGATATGGAAAAAAAAGTACTTCTTCCATCCTTGAGAATTTTTAATTTCTCTTCTCTCTTACATCCGTCCCAAAAAAATTTTATCAGTTCTATTAAAAATTCACTCTTACTCATATTAATTTCTTAACTTAATTATCACATTGCATCTATTCATTATTAATCTACATATCAAATCCTGCTTTACACATCACATCTAATGAAGTTTTAGAAAACTCAATACCAAAATACACAGCTCTTAAATCCTTTAAAAATCAAAATCTCTATCTCGTGCTTTTAGGACGGAGATAGGATAAAATACATTTTAAAAAAGTATATATATTTCAAAAGTTCTATAAAACAAAATAAGACAAGAATATAATATTGTATTTTATCAAATTACCAATGAAAACCTACAAGTAAATAGTACCTTCATCTCGTGCGTGTATTTGTCTACAAAACAATCGCCCTAAATAGGAGTAAAACATAAAGAAAGTACCAAAATGGCAGTTCCATGTTTTTATTTCTTAATTAAATAGAAGTTCAGAATATGGTAATGCAACATTGTCGTACATGTAATTTCACTATACTTTTTAGTAATGTATATGGTCATTATTGGCATTATATTGTACAACTATTTTAATTCGTATTTCGTAAATAAAAACTTAGAACTCCTATTATGGTATATTTATAATGTTTTACTTCTACTTTAATCCTTTTTCCTTTGTCTAACTCGACTTTTTTGAGTCAAATTAGACGAACCTTAAACCTCAGCTAAATACAAACTGTAAAATATATTAGTATAAAAATAATTTAATTAGATTTAAATTGTTTAAAAATTTAAAATTTGTATTTCATTATATATATCAATTCTTAAGTAAATTGAATTAAAATTAACTTTAATCATACATTGAATTTGACTAAAAAAACTCAAACAAGAAAAATACATTGACACGAAAATAGTAAAAGTTATCGATAATGAGAATAAAAACCTTGAGGTTAATTTGTGGACGAATAGAGTACCATATTTAAAAAATAAAAAAAATACACAAACGATTTTAACTTTTTACGGAGTATTTTAGAGAGTATTTTAAATCCTCTCACATACACACACTTTTTCTATTTTCTTCATACATTGGGCATAAATTCTATAGCCGGAATGCAAGTCTCAAAAGGCATATACGTAGTACCATTTTATGATTTAAATTTTCTCTTTAAAATTATTTTAGACTATTTTATTTGTTTAATTAATTTTATAAACGGTAAATTTATAAAATTTGTGACTATTTTATTTTTGAAATTAGCCGTTTTCATATAAATACTTCATGCATCTCATTAAATTTTTTCTGGAATATGAAAAGACTTCGCTTCAATCCGTATTAAATACTCATATTTAAAGATTTGAGGATGCGAAATTGTGATAAAGACTTAAAGAGAGCCTTCACGAAGTTGGAGGCCAATTTCATTAAAAGCGAGCTGAGCGGGTTAGCCGACTGGTCAGTCTCCAATTCTCCATACAATAGAAAAAACATAAAAAGAAAATTATTATAGAAAAATTATGTAGAATAATCTCAACTTTACATAGATTTTTTTTAAATCACTTTTTACTATGATGCATAATAATTCTAACTTTATAAAAATTTGTTAGTTTAAGGTCGCCGTTAAGTTGCAAACGGCTGATTAATAAAACCTATTATGCGTAACAAAATGAAAGTTGAAATTATTTTTTATGAATTTTTTTTAGAGGAATTCCTTTAAATTTTTAAAATGTGTTTCTACCTCTATCATTTCTTTTTCTTTTTAAACATTAGTCTTATCTTTGAAAAAATATAACAATAGATAAATAAACGAAAAATGTTCACTAAATAGGAATAAAACATAAGTCATTTTCTATAAAAAAATAATGAAAATGAGAAAAACAACTAAAACCATACAAAATTAATGAAAGAAAAAGATATCAATAAAAACTAATGTCAATTGATTTTAAATAAAAGCATAATAAACGAAGTGGAAGGTTAACGTAACATTTTAGGCACTATACGAAGTATTAAAGTATTATTACCTCCTACAGGTAAGAGATGAAAATAAAAAAGAGCTAAATACATTTTTTATTGAATCCCTAACAAAATAAAAAAAATATCTTATTAAGAAATAACTAAAATCAAATTACGTTGAAATAAGAAAATTATTTTTTCTTTTTTCTTTCCATTTTATAGGGTTTTAATAAGATCGAAAATAATTTTCTTTATTTATCATTTTTTGTTTTTATTTAGATTTGTTACAAAGAGGAGGAAGTAATAAATTAGTAGTCCATTTATATAGTGCCAAAAACATTAGGGAAGAAACACCAAAGCAAGACTAAAACATTAAAAATATATCAAATTAGGACTTCCATTTTTTATTTCTGAAATATGACTTAAAATGTATTTACATTACTAAACATGGTCATGTACGTTACAAAAAAATATACTAATGTGCACACGAACAATGTCACATTACTATAAGGCAAAATCCTATTTCGGAAAAAAATATGAAAGTTTTATATTATTATACATTTCTCTATGTTTTGGTCTTATTTAAGATAATTTTTAAAACATTAGAAATTAAACCATCACTCTGTATTTTTTAGTTGTGTTTCTTATCAGTTTGAGACTGTAATGGGTGGTAAACCTCATCCTCGGGCAATTGTTTAGTTTCTACTCCGTAATAATCTTTTTTCTCATTTTTTCAATTTTGTATATCTATTTTTTTTGTTAAGAGAAGACTAATCTTTAAAAGAATTTGATGAAGGTAGAAAGTCATTTTAATAATTTAAGGAAAATTTCAAAAAAAGAAAATTAAAAAACACAAATTAATAAAAAACAATCAAAATTTTTATTTTGTTGCGCAAAACAGATAATTCTCATAAATCAGCCATTAGTAGCTTTAACGAACACTCAAACTCACAAATTTTAGTAAAGTTATTAGAATTATTATCCATCACTGAAAGTTGAAATTATTTTTAAAAGTCAAATAAAATTAGAATTATTTTCGATAAGTTGAAATTATTTTTAAAAGTCAAATAAAATTAGAATTATTTTCGATAACTTCTTTTATTGAACCTATGGTAGGAACTTCAAAGTATATAATTTAAGAAATAATAATTTCTCTTTTCTCCACTACACGTGGTAAACATAACCATAAAAATTTAAGGTGACAAAGATTCCATCTCATCGAACGTAGTAAGGTTGACGTTATGGTGAGGGCAAGATGGGAAAGCATGAGATGCATCGCCGTCGTCTTCATCGGCTGATCCGCCGTGGCCGCCCTCTTCGGCGTCACAATAGCCGCGCAGAATGTCACTCTCCTCCGCCGTAAAGCCGACGGAGGCGAACATGGAAGGCCAGCACTTGTGCTCCACGGTCCTTATGGCGCGGCAGCAGTTGGGGCCAAGATACGTCTCCCCGTTCATGAAGAAGAGTATGACCTCTCCCGTGCACGATTGCAGCTGGAACATCGTCTCCAAACACTCCGAGTAGTCACTTCCCGCGCCGCCACCGGCCTCTGCCTGTTGCCTGGCGGCGGATTTGGCCATCATTGGCCGAGCCGCGGTGGCTGCAGGGAAAGCCATGGAAAGTAGCATGAGAGCTTTGAGGACAGTGATTTGGTTTGAAGAGAAAGCCATGGGGTAGTATAGATAGATTGGATGTACCTAACGGATTGGGGCTTTGGGTGGTTTGTTAAGTTGATTTGCAAGGAGGCGCTTGATTGAGGTTCTTTATATAGTACTTCCAGTACTAGCTAGCTAGTACGGAGTAATTGGCAAGGAAGCTAGCGAGACATGCATGTCGATTGAAATTATTGGCTGGGAAAGCAAAGAGTTTTGTAACTTATTTGGGCTCATAATAACATGTGAATTGAATTGCGTATTCATTTCATGCATTGAATGAATATACTATACTCTCTTACCTGCAGTCCTGCAATTCCATCTTTATCAAAATCAAAAACTCCCTCCCTTAGTCTTAAAAATGAAATATTTGCGCTAAATAACACTAAAACATACTCCCTTCATCCCCAATTTAATTACAAATTGCGGGTTCCGGAGTGAAATTTTCTATTTTTTGAAATCATTTTATTTGTAAATTGGTATATCAATAAAATATAAAAATTACATATTAAAAAACTATGCAAAAGTTCTACAAAACAAGAGGTGACAAGAATATTTTATTTTATCAAATACTTAATGAAATCGCGTAAACAAACAAAAGTTATCGAGAGGAGAAAGAAAAAAATCGTAATCTATTTAGAGACGGAGGGAGTATATTATTTTTTAATGTAGCACTTAAATTATTTTATTCCTTAAATGACACCTAATAATGTATAGAAGAAAGAATAATGTCCACTGATGGTAAACATTTACTTGAATAATGACTAATGGATAATGACTAAAAGTGCTACATTAGGAAATAAAAGACATATGATGCTATTAAGGAAATCTCATTATCTTTTAGTGCTATTTAGATAAATTTATACTTAAAAATTTCTCTTATTTGAAACAACGTGCAAAATTTTATACTTTCTTTGTCTCAAATTTAATTACAAATTGGGATTTACAAGGCAACATCTCCCATGTTTTGAAATAATTTTATTTACAAATTTTTATATCAAAAAAAGAAAAAATATGTTTTATTAAGAATATTAGATAATGAAAAGTAAATATTATATTTAATTACTTTCCTTTTTACTCCCTGCGGTCCTAAAAACATGGTAGTTATTGATTGTTAAGAGATTTAAGAAAAAATATATTTTAGTATTGAATTTTTAAAAAAGTCCTTTGATGTGATGGGTAAAAGTAGAATTTAATGGGTAGATTATTAATATAAAAGTATGATGGGATATGTATGGTATGAAAAAGTAAAGGGTAAAAGTAACTTTTTAATATAAATAAGAATTGTTTTTTGAGACGAATGAAAAAAGAAAAGAGAAAGGTTTTCAGAGACGGAGAGAGTATATTATTTTCTTTATTGTATTGTTAAAATATTTGTTCTTCTACTATGATTAGAATTTTCTCATATAATCCCTACAAATATGGATGTATCCTTCAATATTTGATAAGACCAATTATTATCAAATTGTATCAATATAAGTTTTTGAGTTGAATTAACTAATCGATTGGATTCAATCTTTTAATGTAGTTCAACTAAAGTGCCATATAGCCGAGTCCAGTGATCCATACTTGGCCTCATCCTAAATTGTATCATGGTATCAGAGTCGGTTTTGGCCCACCTCATTTGTCAAGGTGTCCATCTACACGTTCATTCCTAGCGACCCGTTAGTCTTTAGCCTAGTTGTTTGTATGGAGTATGTACCCAACGGCCTTTTAACATAATTACTCGTCTGTAAGTCCATATACAGCGACTCATGGTCCTTTAAGTGCTATCGCTCAAAAAAATCAAAGGGATGGAAATACATTTGCAAGTGGTCAACCGTTTATATTCAAATGGTCCGGTTGCTCACTTGAGGGGGAGTGTTAGAGTGCATCCCACATCGGAAGTTCAAGAGTAAAATAATTGGTATATAAGCTCTGGAGTTGAACTAAGTAATCAATTTCAATCTTTTAATGTGGCTCAACCCAAGTGGTGTCTTATTTCCCAATTAAGTAATCCCTACCCCATTCTAAATTTTATCAGTGTTAGAGTTCCCACATCAAAAAATAAAGAATATTATCACTAGCATATATAGAATAGTGAAGCCCTACCTATCAGCTTAAGCTTTTGGGTAAGAATAGTATATCCCGACTCTATATTTAAATGGTTAATTTTACCAAACACTCTACCCGTTGTTCTTGGCTCATCGAAATTTTAACATGGTATCGGAGTAGGTCATGCTCGGGTTCAATTTTTCCTTATTGTTGGACGTGGGTTTAGCAAAAAATCTACCCGTCCGTGGTTTGGTTCAGCTGGCTAAAAGAGATTGAGATGTCATCGCCTGTTGTGTGGGCTAGTTATAAGAGATTGAGATGCTAGACCTGTTTGTCCAAGTGCTAACTACGCTAGGCTAGTTACCACTTGAGGGGGAATGTTAGAGTTCTCATATTGGAAAATAAAAAATAATACCACTAGCATATATAGAATAGTGCAACCCTACCTATCATTAAAAGCTTAATTAAGCTTTTAGAATCCAATAATATGTCATTGGAAATCTTTTTCGAAGATCTACAAAATGAGACTAATGTTGAATATATAATTTTGATTTTATGTCTAACTTATTTTTTTTCTTAAACACTTCGGGATTGAATGAACTGTGTTTTATATTATTACTATATTAGTTTTACCCCGTGCTTTGCACGGGCTCGTGATTTATGCTGAGTGTTGTTTTCTTTTTTTTAAATGTATATTTGAATATTTGATGGACAAAATAGATGAATATTCAAAGGTGTAATGTGTTGTTTGAGTAGAAGTAATCATTTTTATAAGTATGTTAGTTCTCAATTTTTAAAGAACTCGAGATTTAAGATATTCAGTAGCGTTGTAGTTTAAGTTGTTTAAAAACAATTTTATTAAAAAAAATATAGAAGAGTGTAGGAACCATGTAGAAGTTCATAAGAAGGGAAACGAAATAGCAAGAGAGATAGAACCAAAGTCCCTTTGAACTAAAAGAGGAAAAAAAGAAAAGGAAAAAATCCAGCATTATAACCAAACTCCAACTCTCATGTTCGAACGACTACAGCACGACAGCACCAATCATCTCGATCCAAAAAAAAACAAATAAAGGAAAAACTGCCATCCAATAGCCAAACGAACCAAAAACATCCTTACCAATATTCAAACTTATTAAACTTAAGTGTAGTTCCAACAAAGGACAACATGGTCAAAATTTGAGTATAGATTTTGGTACCAAGGTGAAGCAAACATCAGTTGTATATACATCCTCCAACTTTATCACTAATAATTTAATTAGCCAAACCTAAGTCTCTTCGAAGCAAACAGATACAGAATCAAACTACAAATAGAAGTTGCATAACCAAACAGAACTAAACTTTTACTGAACTAATACCAAGCTTTCTTTTTTTACCTGTTCAATATGTAATTATATATAGTAAACCAAAAAAATTGACTCCCTGAAGACATGCAAATGATATTTGACAGCTAAACTTTAACACTATTAAAGATCTGTATTCATAGATTGTAAAACCATATGATTGGGTTTGAAAAAGAGGAAATGAGAAAATGAGTACTTTTCGAGCCAAATGTCATTGATATTGAACTGCCAAGAGACATTATACTTACTTTTACTACACAAATATTTCAGCCTTGAGCTGTGTTTAGATTAATAATGTTTTTCAACAAAAGTAACTTCAATTTCTTCATAAATCCTTTATCCTTTATATATAATATTTGGGAGTTAAACTCCCAGAAATTTGACATGTGGCAGGCTACTTGGCAAATTTTTTTTACACATCATCAGCCACATCACATTTGATGACTTTAGTGATTTGGCAATTTTAACTTAAAGTATGAAAACATCTTATTAGAGCAAATATTCATTCCCAATTATTGCACATATGAAAAACTTTTACGAGGTATATGTAAAGTAATTATAATTAGGAGGTTATAAATGTTAATTATAAAAAACTTTCAATTAATTTCTAATGACATTTATTGGCTAATCCTTCCTTTTATTATTAAATTTGAGACTCTGGCTTACATGATATTGACATGTCACGAGCTGATATGACATTTGTAATAAATTATCTGTTGTCTATTTATTATTTTAATGAGTTGGTAATTTTAATCAACATATGGAGTACGGATTTGACATTAATTTATTTTATTTTTTATTGATTGAACATAGTGACTTAATTATTTGTCTTTTTAGTTACATGCAATTAATCTTAAGAATTAGTAACTCTATTGTTTTTAACACTCGGTTCATTTTTCGAATGATATGTTTGACCAATAAAATTTTTTATCAAACATATTTTTTATTTTGAGATTATAGTCTAATTTTTAATATTTCAATTCATTAAATATTTATATAAATAATTATTCAAGCATTTGACAGCAGAGCAAACTGAGAGAATTAATGAATAAAGTTTTTATAATTATTTAAACATACCAATTTATTTACCATATATACGTATAGGGGGGGGGGAGGTAAAGAACACTTTCTATTTTCGGATTTAGAATTACTCCCTCCGTCCCCTTAAGATCTTCTCATTTTGACTTTTTGTTATTTTTAAGGAGAATTGAAAAAATGTGAAAGTTTACCATAATACCCTTAATGAAAATGGGTGGAGTGTATTAAATGAGATAGGTGAGGTGTAATAAATAAAGTAAGTGGAGATAGTTGTGATATATATTTTAATTGTTAAAAAAGGTAATGAGAAGATCTATGGTGGACAAATAAAAGGGTTAATGAGAAGATCTATGAGGGACGAAGGGAGTATATTTTTGCATAAAAAAGTGATTTAGATTCATCCATTTTTATGAAATAATTAATTATGCACCTACTTCTCCGAATGAATTTTATTAATTTTATATTTAGGTTAGTGGTCTTATGCTAAACAAAAAGAATGAGTTTGGTTACTACATATCTTGAAAAAAAATGACCATGTTAAAACTCCTCATTGTATAAGTAGATTTAATCTTCTCATTTAACTTTTAACGCTCTCCAATATAATATTTTGATCATTAATATCAATATTTATACTTATCGTATCTTATGAAAATTCATATTTCAAAACAACGTTTTAAAAAAGATTATTGATATTGCATTTATAGATAAACAAAAATTGTTTTTCATATATCGAGGTCAATCTTTATCTTTATATATTAAATTTAAGAGTTAAACTTATAGAATTACAATAAGTGGTGAGTCTACATCGCAACATTTTAACAAATCATCCGCCACCTATACGGATTACGAAGTGCCACTATAATTATTTGGAAAAAAAACTAAAATAAGATTAGAATATGGAGAAAGTGCCAAAATATGAGTTTCATATTTTTTATCTCCAAAATATTAACTACAATACCAATATTTTATTATATAGTGCTAAAAACATTATGAAATGGTAATATACAGTGCCACAACGTCATTGTGTAAACTTTATTTAGAAAATAAAAATATTGAACTCTTATTCTGGGTATAAGATTTATGTCTTACTTCTATTTGAGTGATTTTTTTTAGTTTTGTTTAGGAAATATATACAGAGTAATATATATGGAGTAGTAACTACCAAAAGTTTCCTTCTACACTTATATTACCTTATATATCTTTTTTTATTTTACAAAATCATCATCTTTCCTTCAACTTCTTGGGAACCTCTGCATACCTTTCTTTTTTTCTTCTTTAGTGTAGATAGGTGAAATTGTGAAAACTATTGTGTAATTAATGATGTACTCACACTTCATTTGGTAAGTTTAAGGGAGGGCATCATTAGTAATCTATTTAAAAAAGAAATTGATAGCATAATTTTTTTGTGAATTATATTATTTTCTATATTCTTTGCGGAGCTTACGAGAACAGATTTCCAATTTTGTTGATCGGAACTCCAAAATTTATTATTTAGCTACTAAACATGAAGAGATTCTTTTTTTCTATATAATAAGGGCCATCGACATTGGACAATGATATCTGCATAAACCTAGGCCTTTAAGAACTAATATGCATTTTCAGCTTATGCACTATTTGAAGTTGCAGTCTAGGTTTCTCAGTAGACCTGTGCAAATAAGGATCTGGGCCGGGCTTGATACAAATTATTAGCCCATTTGTATGGGCGGGCTTGGCCCGGCCCGGATTTGATGGACTAAACTCTTTACCCATACCCGCCCACTTTAGCGGGCCGAACTGCCCACCGGGTCGGGCCGGATAAAACAGAAAATTACTCGCGGGTGACGCGAGTTTTGTCGAAATAACTTTCAGGTCCCTCTATTTTCAAAAAGACAACCGAGGTCCTTATATTTTGTTGTAATAACTGGGAGGGGACATATCATTCAATACATCATCCGTAAGTGTTAATAAATGTATTTTTTTCCTATTTTTCCAATACCGTTTTTCCTATTTTGTCATTACCTTGTTTTTTTTTTAATTTTTTTATTTCATTTGTTTTAATATAATACAAACAATTTTGAATTTTTATACGATTTTATATAAAGAATTCTAAAATAGCACTTTAAAAATAGTAACAAAATGAAAGAAAACAATAGGAAAATTTTTTTATACGACCTAAGATTTATTACTTTAAAACATTTAGAAAAGAATAGGAAAAAAATACATTTATTAACGTTTATAGATGAAATATTGGATGAAATATCACCTTTCAGTCATTACAACAAAATGTAGGGACTTCTGCTGTCTTCTTAAAAATAGAGGGACCTGAGAGTTATTTCAACAAAACTCGCGTCACCCGTGAGTAATTTTCTGCCGGATAAAACATCAAGTAAATCTTTTTCACACAAAAAAATCAAAAAGAAAATATTGAACTCCTTTTCAAATGTTTAAAATAAAAGTACAACTCGCCACATTTACATAGAAAACATAATAATAATATTGTTACATAATTAATAAACCAATCATACAGATTCATTAAAACACTATTAATTTTTTTAAGAGGGGTGAGTGATATGAACTATTATACATGAATTAAAGAAAATTTTAAAATTTATAATGTCTAGATAATTAATAATAAAGTAAATGTATTTAATGAATATGGGCGGGCCTATTGGCCCGGATGGGCTAAAAGTAATTTACAGATCCGCCCAAATACAATTCGGGCTTGGGCCGGTCCGCCCATATGAGTATTAAAGATTATCCATATCCGCCCATTTTAAAGGACGGGCTGGGCGGGCCGGACGGGCCAACCCTTGTTTGCACAGGTCTATTTCTCAGCCATATTCCTTATTATGCTCCTAAAAGTGTAAAGTAGACAAAATAAGTGTAAAGTAGATTTAGATATTGATGGAACAAAAAATAATGAGGGGCACTATCTCCTTATGTCAATCACAATTTTCTTCGTAACACAGTTGTAAATATAAGTATAATACTCATTTCTAATAGGTATGTCACCATTAGTTATCATTTAATCATTCAAAAGGTATGCCACTTTTATGTATTGAGGTATTAAATTTTAGAGTAAATTATATAAAAGGTCCCCAGTTATAGGTCGTTTTACATATTTAGTCCCTACATATCAAATATTACTAATTTAGTCCCCAATTATTATATTTATTTCCATGAATGGTCCTTTGTTAACATTTCCGTTAAGAACGTGGATAAAATTGTATATTCATACTTCTCTCTCTCCTCAATTAAGCTTTCTTCATATTCTCATACTCTTTCCCAAACTCGTCGCTGAGTTTGAAGCTCTTAAACCCAAAATTTAAATGATCGTTCCTCCAGTTAGACAAACAATTGAGAGAAGAGTGATGATTTTGGTTTAGGGTTCAAAGCTAGAAATTCAGCGACGGGTTTAAGAAAGGAGTACAAGGGAGGAGAAAGGTTAATTAAGGAGAGAAAGGAGCGTGAATTTATAATTTTATCCACGTTTTAATGAAAATGTTAACAAAGGACCATTCGTAGAAATAAATATAATAATTGGGGACCAAATTAGTAATATTTGATATGTAGGGACTAAATATGTAAAACGACCTATAACTGGGGACCTTTTATGGAATTTACTCTAAATTTTAAGATCATAAGTAGCATCACTAAAACATCATAATCCTACAATGTAACATGCTTGTAAAACAAAGGGAGCATTTCAGTTTTCTTTTCTAAGTTCCAAGCCAAAACTAAACTGCAGAGTAAGATAGAGTAACAACGTTAAAGGTACACAAACGGCGAACTACATCTGGCGAAAGTTGAATAGATTTGAATGCAAGATGCCTTCAACTTGGAAAATGAAAATCGTTATTGAAGTGGAGAGGAAAAAGTGAATTTCTTTATAATAATGATAATTCAAAAAAGAACAATAGGTCTTTACCAGAAAAGGTAGTGTCACCACAAAGAATATTAACAATGATAATGAAATGAATTAAACTAATTTCAAAAGGTAAATGAAAGAAAGAAAAGTTTTCAGATAATGAAAATGGGAAAGGATAATGAAATTAGAAATGTGTTAAATAAGATGAGAGAGATTGGAGTGACGCCTGAAAATTGAGATCAACTGCTCGGAACTAAGTAAGAAATTTAAAAAATTAATGATCTACCTGCTCAGTTATGCAAAAAGAATTGATCATTGTATCATGCATGGAAAAAACCTCTAAATCATACATTTACCTCTACCTTTGAGTACATGAGAAAGTTCCAGGTCTGACCTCTTACCATCTGAATCGCATGTCACATTGGTGGTGGCTCCGGCTATATTAAATCCAAACATGGAGTTTAACATTAAGCTTGTTCAGTTTATCACCACAGTAGAGGGGCTAAGTACAAATATACTCGAGTTTTTTGAAACGATAAAGGGATAAAAATGCAAATTTAATTTATATAAATTTCATAAGGGGTTAAGTAGCAAATGAGATCACACTGAGAATAAGTGTATAACTCAACATCACCAAAACATCATACTCAGTAACTCTCAAACCCACAATTCAAACAATTTCTCACCCCTCACTAAGTAAACAATTTCAAAAAAAATTAAAAAAAATCAATGTTCTACCTGCTCAATTATGCAAAAAAAATTGATCATAGTATCATACTATCATACATGGCAAAAAACATGTAAATGATACATTTACCTCTGCCTTTAAGTCCATGAGAAAGATCTAGCTCTGGCTTCTGATCGGAGGTTACCACTGAACCGCATGTTACATTGGAAGCCATGTTGGCATCAAATACTCTCCACCTGAGGCCTTTTTTATCTTTCCATATTAAACCAGCAAGTGCTTTGAGTAGTAGCAAATGTGCTTGTTAGTTCCTGTTCTTGGTGTAGGGCAATAGGGAGAGTAATAAATCATAATTAAAGATCAGTAAAATCACTAAAGAATACATCTTTTGAGCCATTCCAATTCCAAAGAGAGAAGTAGATAACAATGGTCAATAGAAAAATTGTACCAGAGGAGTAAATATAATAAACACCTTCTGTGCATGTTCAAACATCATACTTTTCACAATTAAAGAAAAAATAGGAAAAAATAAATTTACCGTCAAACAGGAAAAAAACTGTAAGAATTGGAAGATGGAATAAAAAATAAATTTAGAGTTAAATTGCCACCAATTAGCTGGGTTGAGGCTGCCATGAATGAGGCGGCTAAGCTTTCCAAAGAGAACATAACTGAGGAGGAGAAGTCGTGGGTCAAAGAGGGAGTAACACGGCGAGGTCGCTGCAGGATAAACAGTATGCGTCTAATAGAGATGGCCATGATTGAAACTTCATCTTAAGACATACTTCTTTTTATTATCATACTGAATTTGCTTCCTAGGGTTTAGAGAATCATTCTTTTTCATACGTGCAAATTAACAGAGAAATATTAAGTTAATAAAAGGGGTATATTTTGAGACTTTGAGATGATACCTGAAATTCTTTTGCTCTTCATCGTTTCATCTTCTGCCCCTTTTCCCCTTGTCGCCCATTAGTGGTGGTGACAACCGCGGAAGCCCTGCAAGCTCACTTGGCACGGGTTTCCACTTTTGCCCTTTCCCCTATGGCCTACTCTTCTTCGTCCAACACTCTAACCTGCGCTGCTGGCACGTCAAATCAATTCTTCTTCAGAATCAAATGAATTCATAAAAAAATTAAAGCCAAGAAATTAAATTGAAAGAGACCTGACCAAGAAATTAATTTGAAATGGATTTGACCCAAGAAAAACAAATCTCACCCTAGATCCACAAAAAACCCCCAAATTGGTCCTGCCATTAAAGAAGAAGGGGGGAAAATGAGGGAAAATCCTGGACAGATGCCCCTCGTACGCCGCCACCTGAGGGTCGCCGCCCTTCCACCGCTGCCAACACACTGGTAAGAGGGGAAGGTGGGGCAGTGAAGAAAAGGAGAGGGGTGGGGGATGACGATGAATATGTGAGGTGGGGGCTGATGGAAACGAAAGAGGAGATCCAAAAGAGAGGTTTGGGAGGAAGAAGAAGAGAATGAGAGAGAAAATGGGTTGGGGCCTTGGGGGTGGGTTTGACGATGGAATAAAGGAAGAAAAGAGAAAAGAACATGGGGTAAGGGAGAGAGAAAAAAAGAGGGGTAAAATGGTAAGTTTAAATATGTTTTATTTCCATGTTAGGAAATGGGAAAAATCAAATGTGACAGCTAAAAAAGAAAAGTGAGAAGAAAGATATGGGACGGATGAAGTAATTTTTTTTGTGATTTATTTTTTTTCTTTTTTATTAACCACGGTAAATAAAATTGTGTAACAGTAATATTTTTGACTTTCTCAGTTCTTCACGAAAGAATAAGTTAAAGTATGTCTCGAACTTATCCTCTTTTCAGTATTTCCTAAAACTTTTTATTCAAGAAATCTATAATCTTTTCCTTCGTAATATCCTATTGATTTCTGGATTACTCAAAAAAATATTAAATGGAGAAAGAAAAATATTAATTGATCAATCTTGCTCGAAAAATGAAAAAAAGTAAAAAAGTACATAAGAAATTCAACTGTAGCTTAAATAGAAAGTCAAAACCTTCTACTAATTTCTTTAACTTTTTTTTTAAATTCCAGTGGGCAAACCACCAAGTATGGTGGGGTAAGATCTAGGCAACCCTTACCGAGTATTATTAAGATATCATCGTCACCACAAAGTGAGGGGAGGACCAAACCGAGGCCTAACGCCAGCCCCTCATACGGAAGACAAGCCTTCCGGGGAGTACAAAGGATAATAAAGGAAAAGGGAGCCTAGAACAGGCTTGACCAAAGCCACAATACGGTCCTAGCTAGAACAACTAGTCTACGGCTTGACCAAAGCCACAATAAGGTCCTGGCTAACAAGCATATGTATTTCTTTAACTTATCACAAGCATATGTATTTTACAAAATCTCACAACAAATATCGAGTTTTAGTGTATGTAAATTAAGTTCAATTCTGAATCAACAAGTAAAAGCTTTATTTGTTAAACCGGAAAAAAAGAATCTTTTGCTAGACACGGAGTAATTCAAACTCAAGAGATGGATAAAAAAAGTATCCAGCTTAGAACACGTCAATGGAAACATTGGTCAAGAGTAAATTCTCAACATCATTTATCTCAGATTCTACGGTGTAATTTCGGCGCAAAAAAAGAAAACTGGCGAAAGAAAATTAATAGATGTAATAAATTTAATAAACAATCTTTACAGAAAGGGACTTCTAGGCGAAATTCAAATTTAGATGATTCAAAAACCGAAAATAAAGATAACTTAATATTGAATAAAAACCAAAAAGATAATTTTGAAAAATGCTATTGATATGATGTCTTATCATCAAAATTCATTAAATTTGAAAAAAATTACTATATAAGTAAAATAAAGAGTAAATTTCATAAAAGATCCTCAGTTATAGGTCGTTTTACATATTTAGTCCCTACATATCAAATATTACTAATTTAGTCCCCAATTATTATATTCATTTTCACAAATGGTTCTTTGTTAACATTTCTCTCCTCAATTAAGCTTCCTCCCTCCCCTCGCACTCCTTTTACAAGCCCGTCACTGAGTTTGAAGCTTTGAATCCAAAACTGATATCGTCACGCTTCTCTCAATTGTTTGTCTAACTCGTGGAACTCACATTCGAAACTAGTAATCTTCATTGATGAGTTTTAATATTTATTTTCTTTAATTTCTTAAGACTAACAGATAAAACTCATCCATAAGAGAGGAGTGACTAATAATTGAGAGAAGAATGATCATTTCAATTTTGGGTTTAGAACTTCAAACTCAGCGTCGAGTTTGAGAAAGAATACGAAAGGAGGGAGAAAGCTTCATTGAGGAGAGAGAGAAGTATGAATATACAATTTTATCCATGTTCTTAACAAAAACGTTAACAAAGGACCATTCGTGAAAAATAATATAATAATTAGGGACTAAATTAGTAATATTTGATATGTAGGGACTAAATATGTAAAACGATTTATAATTGGGACCTTTTATGGAATTTACTCTCAAATAAAATACCAATGAAAACAAACGACATAGAAAATTTGAACAAAATATTAAACTTTATTTTCAATTAAAATATATAATTTAATTTAAATAGAAATAGGCAAATATTAACTAAACAATTAAAGTGTAATCATTGTAGTGAATATAAGGCACAATAGGGGTGAATTGGTTGAGATAGTGAGTGCAGTCACTATTGAGTGGATGTTGATTTAGAGTGAATGGTGGTGGAACACTACAGATAGTCTCACGTTTGGTCTTGGCTTAATGGCTTGTACACTCTTTGTCTTAGAAGTGTTTATTCTTTTTTTCGTTCAAAAAAACCACAAAAATCTTCACTCTTTCTTTTATGGAAAAATTATCCATAATAATCACAACTTTAATCGTTCTTTCAAAAATAATCTCACATTTCACTTTGATGCATAATAATCACAACTTTATTGAAATTTTCAAGTTTTGGGTTGCTGTTAGGTTGTTAACGGCGGGTTATCAGAAATTGTCTGTTTTCTGTAATAAATAAAAGTTGGAATTATTTTTTATGGATTTTTGTATTTTGATTTTTTTGAAATTTTCATTTAAATTTTTAAAATGACTCTCTACCTCCATTTATTTTTATTTTTTTTTTATGATTAGTCTTACCTTGGAGAAAATAAAGAACTTGATGTAAAAATAACGAAAATGAGAAAAAAACTACATAAAGTATTAAAAACATGTATTAATGTATTATTTCTTATTTTTGAAAGAACGGTAAAGTTGGGATTCTTCTAAATAACTTTTCATAAAAATTAGAACCGGTACATCAATAGTATGTATGGTGCATAAAATGTTAAACCCACCACTACGTATATTTTTATTTTATTTCTTACCAGTCTCTAGTTAGTTTCTTTTGGTTATTTATTTCATTAATTTTGTTTGATTTTTGTTATTTTACTCATTTTTTATTTTTTTTATATTTATTTTTAAATTCAAAGTTAGACTAATCTTTAAAAAAGAAAAAGAAGTGATGGAAAGTTATTTTAAAAATTTGAATGAAAAATTTAAAAACAAAAATTAATAAGAAATAATCTCAACTTTCATTTTGCTGCCCATAATTGGTCGATTCCATTAACACTTCATTAGTAACTCTCCCAAATTCGCAAATTTCTATAAAGTGTGAATTATTATGCATCGCAGTGAAATGTGAGATTATTTTTAAAAGACCAGGTTAGTTGAGATTATTCTCGAGCATTTTTCCTTCTTTTATTCTTAGTTCTAAATAAATATTTCATCTATCTCTTACCTTTTTTTAACATTCTGGTCATTAATATCTCTATATATAAAAGTATACTGTTTAACTAAAATTTATTTTCAAGACAAATAGATTTTTTAGTTAACTTGTGACATTAAATAATTCTTTCTATTCTACCATTTGTGACATAATAAAACAACAACAAGAATAAAAACAATAACAAAAACAAGATGATGATGATGATGATGATGATGATGATGATGATGATGATGATGATGATGATGATGATGATGATAATAATAATAATAATAATAATAATAATAATAATAAAAACAATAATAATAGGAGTATGAACCCAAATAAACCTTTTTAATCATTGTTGAAATAAGTAGAAGAAATTTGAAGAAATTAGAAAGGCGGAATTTAAAAGAAATTAAGAGTTACAAAAAATGAGTAGTTGGAAAACTGAATGTAGTTGGAAAAAATTTGAATAACTTGGAAGAAATTTGTTTTTTTGTTTGGTTATGAACACATTAAAGATATGTAGTGCAGTGGTGGAATAGAGTCAGCCAACTCCATTTCAGTAAATAAAACAACTACACGGAGTCAACCACTCCTTTTGAAAATGTCAAAGTGAAACGGAGTAGGTAACTCTGTTTTGCTCTGTCAGGAAAAAAAATCCGAATTACGCTGTTAGGTACACCTTTTCTGTTTACATATATAATTAATAGCAATGGCACGTGCGTTGCGCGAGATTTGGTGCCCGATATTAGCTTTGTGGTTGGGTGTGTTAATAATATCTTTTGAGTGGTTTTGTGTAGTTAATTTGTGTAGTGTACTCTTGTTGTATAATTTGACTATTTTTTAGTTGTGTGTTGTTTAGAAAGTGTATTAAGGGGAATAAAAAATATGGTAGACAATTATACAAAGAATAAATGTTTTTTTTACACTTTTAGTTTGAACTTGGCACTGCAGCAGGTTGGCAACACTCCAACAACATACGGAGTACTTCGTATTACACTAACACAATAAACCATTTTACAACTTAGGATAGCAAACAACATTATAACTTAAGGAAATAAACATTAAATAACTTAAGTAGGTCACTAAGAATCCAACACAAGTTTCAGTACGGTACTAAATAAGGTCATTAAGGAAACACCATGGGTTAGTAGATGATATGAGAGTATGCATGTAACAACACATCATTAAATTGTAAAGAGTGAAAATCATAGAGTTCAACACTTAAAGTTGGGCAACATTTTTTTTGCATACAGTTATTGGAGAAATAAAGAAAAAGTCATCATCATAATTGATAAAATAATATAGTCATGTCTATTTTCGTCAATATTCATAGGGTCAAATTTTATTCACTTCGTTGGCCTATTTTCGTCACGTAATTGATAAAACAATATGGTCATGTCTCTAGTTTTTTAAATCTTTTGATATAGTCTTTTAATATGTAATATTTATTTTAAAATTTTACATCATTTTTTGTATAAAATGATTTGAAAATAACTTTTGTCAAACATCGTAACGCGCAACGAAAAGTTTATTTGTGGACAGAGGGAGTATATTATTTTTCCCAATGTAGTACTTAAACATTTTTAAAACCTAAATAGTACTTTAATAATGTCTAGTAGCGGGAACTATGTCATTATCGACATTTAGTTTGAACAATGTACAATGGCGGTGGACATTTACTTGAACAATGACCGGTGGACAATGAGCAGTGGTACTACATTGGGAGATAAAAACATATGGTACTACATTGTGAAAATTACTATGTTTTAATACTTTTGACACTTGAACCCCTGAGCGTAGTACAGTATCTGTATGTGAACCTCAAAAAGTAATTACTCTTTAGAGATAAAAATAGAAAAGAGAAAAAACAGAAAGAAATTGGTAACAGAGTACTAAAGAAGCACAAAATATACTAATCTTTAAATATAATTTGAAGGATCAAATGGTTTAGGCTTACAAAATCAGTGCACATAAATAGGCTCGTGTCACCATAAGAAAGCCCTACAGTTGTGGATCCTTCTGGCAGCGACCACAGTTGATTTACACAAGTACCTATAAGCAAAAGTGGAAGAGCTTCTCTTAGCAAAAGTGTAATGACAATTAACCCTCGACAAAGAGGAGAAAAGTTACAAAAAAACCATTTTTTTACATCACGTAATACTAAAGGAACCATATTGGAAGACACATATTGGAACCTAGCATATTATTGGAAGACACATATTGGAACCATATTGGAAGACACATATTGGAACCTAGACACTAAAGGAACCTAGCATACTAAAAAACCATTTTTATACATCACGTCATTTTCTTTGTTTCTATTAAAAAAACATCCATTATCTAAGTCTATGGTTTAAATGCAGAATCCATTACCGAGTCCAGTCCTTAGAATGAAATAATTTTAATTTGGGACTGGTTTTTGGGGCTGGTTTTGGGGTACACTCTGGGTTGGGTTTTAACTTTTGTGTTTAGAGTTTAGGTCTGTTTTCGGGTCGGGGATTTGGGGTTTTCTGTCTGGGTTTTGGGTCTGGTGTTTGGGGCTACTTTTTTAGTCTGGGTTTTGGGTCTGGTGTTTGGGGCTACTTTTTTAGTATGGGTTTTGGGTTTGGATTGAGGTTTTAAGCTTTGGCAGATCATGGTTGAGTTTTGGTTCTAGGTTTGGGGTTTGGAGGATGAATTAACTTTTTGCATTACTTATAGCAAGTTGCTGGCAGAGGGGATATGGAGACTGGAGAGGCAATGAAACTCATTGATTGGAACAGATTGCCTTTGGGTTTTCACCAGCAGGAAGGGATACGAAAAGCACACACATCTCATTTGGTCTCATAACTGTTAACCATGATTTATTAAAACAAGATTAGATGCAAAATAGATTTGCACTATGTCAAAAAGTAGTTGCTGGCTGGAACTATGTCAATATTAAATAATGAAAGAGATCAATTCTTTCTTTAGTTGCTGGCGAATGTGGACAGTGATGATATTTAAGGTGTAATTATGTGCACTAAAAAGTAGGTTGTTTAAACCAATGATAATTTATATTTAAAAGGGCAAAATTTCAGAAACAAAAACACAGATCACAACAACTTATCATAGAAATAATGGATTGAATTCAAATTATCACAGGAATGATGTTCTAAGTTCTTGCAGGTTTAGAAGAAATAATGGATTGAATTAAGAACTACCTCAAGAATTATGTTCCAAGTTCTCGCAAATGTAGGCATACCTGTAATTAAAAAATTATCCTTCTTTACTTGCAGTAACTGGATATCAAAAGATAAAAACTATCCAAATAACTTGTTGTAGATGGTCCACCATTCCATGTCGAAGCTTTGAATATAAATACCCGACTTGAAAAGTTTTGATAAAATAAGGTGCATACGGAATCAATTCGCCAGTGATAATTAAGCTAGCATTCCAGAAATAGAAGGTAAGGCATAGAATTATAAGATTCTCATGAACCATACCTGGAAATCTGCACATCTTATATAATTTGCTTGTCATTAAGATTGAGTATGGTGGGTTGCTAATGTTTTGCCTGGAAATCCCTGTATGGCTACTGTGAAAATTCGAATCAGAACATAGAGAAACTTAGAAATAATTCGAGTCGTTCTAAAAATTCTGCACATGTGATATAGTTACCGGTGGCTTAATTATCGATGGCAGTTTTTGTAGACAAAATTAAGCGGCGCATCATTTGTAAAGATCACTGATGCTTTACCAGGAGATAAAGTCACAAAACCTGGAAAATCGTTGAAATACGAGCGTTCTTTACAGATGCGGCGTTGGATTACGATGGATTGCTGAAGCATCGCCGTGAATTACGCGTATCAGAGCAAGAGTCGAATAATTTGGGAAGGAATTCCACTTCGGCGCGGTGCATATCTTAACAAATAGAATTGGCATCACCAAATGAATGGGAGTTGAGAATTTGCAAAAAAAATTTGTGTTGTCTCCATATTAAGATATGTGCTTGAGCTTTTTCACGTGTCATCGCTTGTTCTGACTTTAGATTTTCGTCCACCAAGGTTAGTTTCACTTTGAGTATTTATAACCTGCAAAATAAAGAATATTTAAATAAGTATACCCTTGACCTTTTTTTTTGGAAAATAAAAAGAGCAAAAGACACTAAACATAAGTTATGAAAAAAAGCTCATTGAACAATTCACAGAGGCTCTTACCTTGCCATCGCACTATATGTAAATGCAATTCAATGTTTGAGCTCCAACATCAAAATATTGGTTGTTTGAAAGAAAATCTTTTATAAGCAAAAGTAATTGTGAAATGTGTGAGCTTGTGTGACCTTCAAACAACTTTCCATGAGGAGCCTAGTTCATTTCCATTTAAAAAAACCACCATCCTTATAGATTATACGATGCATCTTTTGATCTCTAAATAAAAGAGATATTTTTAGAGCTTAATAAATCCAATAGAGGGGAATATCTAAATAAACTATAATAATACTATATAAACTTAACATTTTTGTAAGTTTCAATGAATCCTTACTTTCAACCATGAACATAAGTATGTGGTCTTGAGTTTTTGTAGGTTTTGATTTAGAATATCTTAATTCTTAAATATAATAATATCATCCTTCATTCAACCAAGATAAGTCATCTTAGATGGTGAAAATAATAACCTAAGTAAGCTAAGTAAGGAAGTGCTCATGTTATATAAGAAAATTTCACGTTCTACCAACTTGTCCAAAACCTACCTCGTATTCACTTTGAATGATTTTGGTTTAGAAGCATTTATTGTTTTTTAAAACCATAAAAAATAATCTATAAGAGACAGATGTTACAAATATTCCATGTGACACTATCATTTGATAGACTTTTAATTATGGGAAAAAGACAAATTAACATAATCTAAAAATATATCATATTGTCTTTGGCTTAATCATATCCCTTAGCCCTAAGTAGTGATCACAGATAATTTATTATTCATCATCCATGAAACATTAGGCATATTGAACATTCTTTTAGGAAGAGTATAGAGCCTTTGAAGTTTATCTCCCAAAGCTAGTCAAGAACAAATTCTTGGGTTTAATGGGTTTGAACCAACAAAAGGGTTGGCAGCATCATTGTATACAATTAGGTTTGTCCCTCCACATTGTAAAGGAATATGAGAAAAGCACATTAACATAAGATATCATAAGTTAAAACTCATCTAATGAAAGAATCTACATCGTTTTGCATTTTAAAGCATCAATGAAATGAGAAAATAATTATTAGTTGTTATAAACTACAGAGTAACGTGTAATTGATTGAATGCTCCCACTTGAAGGAATCTCAATGGCATAAACTCTCATGGATGAATTTTAATTTTTTTAAAAGTTAACATAAGGTCAAACATGATATACCAATCAAAGTTGATATACCAAATATTAAAAAATGAAACCCTTTTAGTTGCAACCTCAAGAGATTTAGAGATTAAAGTAGAGCGAATAGAGTGTAGACCTAAACGTATGAATATGTAATACTAAAAAATCTCTACTAAGCCTAGGTTTAAGATTATGCAGCGGCTATAGTGCCCAAACATCTCTTACAGTGAAGGGTAGTGAAGGGTACACGCAAACCGCAAAATAAATTCAAACATAAAATAATACAAGAGGAAATTAAGTACTCCCTATGTCTATATTTAACTCTCTCCAAAAGATTTCCTTGAAAAATGAGGTTGACTATCAATTGTTGTACACATCTGATCGGAGATTTCAACTATGACATCTTTTCCTAGAAGCCTTTTAGTTGCAACGTCATGAGATTTTGAGATTAAAGTAAATCCAATAGAGTGTAGACCTAATGGTATGAATATGTAGTACTAAAAAATCTCTATTAAACCTGGGTTTAAGATTCTGCAGTGGCTATAGTGCCCAGACATCTCATGCAGGAACATAATTTGTATCAAATTTAGGTTGAATTGTGCCTAATTCAAGACAACATAAGGTCAAAAGAACTTTGAATAATAGAGAAATGAATTGACAACATATTAAGCTCATATGGACAAAAAAGCATCACCATAATGAAGGGTACGAAACCATCAACACCATTCATATAGCATGAACTAAACACAGTCCATTTTGGGAATATAGTTCCTTCAAAAAAAATTAGGAATATAGTAGGTAAATGAAGTTGCATATGAAATATAATAGACAACCATCTTGACATTATTGGGATGTTCAAGCAAAGGCTTTCGAGCAAGACACCCAAAACTGAAAATATTAGAGTACCTGGGAAAATTTGCCTTTGAACCAATTTAGGAGCAGTGTAGTTAAATGATGGCTGAAGGAGCATATAGAATCTTCAACATCATATTCCTGGAGAGTACATCACATGTTGCTTGTTCATCAGTGGCACCAATTATTCTGACATGGATTGAGTTTAAATACAATAATGGCGTTTGGTATATCAAATTTTGTACATTAATATATGTACCAGAAAGCTTAAAGATCTAACTAACATAATACAGTGATACTTGAAAAATTTGTAAGACTATATAGTGTAAGCATATAACAAAGTAAATTGAGGTGTTAGTGTCTAATTTGATGACCATTTACTCCCAGCATAGTGGAGAAACTGAAAGTTAGATGGATCACTGGATGATTGAGTAGATATAACAAGATCAGATACAACAAGCTCCATTTGAGGTAATGAGAACCGTCTACAAGAGTACAATTAGCATATGTGTCTAAACTACAAGATCACAAATTGCACAGGAAATATAACCTCCTGAGTCAAAACTACTCTTGTAGTGCATATGAAAACGAAGATGACAGTATAACCTCAATTAAACAAAATGTCTCAATTTGTAGAACATAGGAGTAAAACAATCTTATTTTGAAATGAAACTGGGAAAATTATGAGCTGAAGAACAGAAACACATATTCCTCACCCACTGCAAAAGAAAATATCAGTTAAAGACATACCACATATTCCTAACTAAGCCCCGTTTAAACATTTAAGAATAGGCCAAAACACATATCGTAACGAATGAGTGAGCAAGATTGGGAAGAAACCTTGAGCCTTGTGAACCTTGGCAAACTGCTGAGGGAAACATCTTCATTACCTGATTTACCTCATGTATGTCTTATTTTAATCAAATTTGAGCATACGGAAAAAACTGAAAAAGAAACATGCATTGTGGATTAAGTTCACAATTTTTTTAAAAGAAAAAGTAGAAAAGGTCCATTGAAGAAAACAAAGGTACAAAGAAAAAAAATAATGTACCTAGATTTAGAAAATTCACATGTAGGCTTGTAGGAGTTGTAGCAATCAATTTGTAACCAAATGTATTTAAAAACTGAAACACATCAAGAAACCAACCCCACGTGCTCATATATATACACATACACACACATACATGCTCGTACACACATGTATCAAGGTATTAGCAAGGCTCTCCTTGAGCATCCACTCATGCAGAATGTATCTGAAGAGTGCATCCTCCCTCAAGAACATGGCCTTTGTCAATAACAGCCTAAAAGCAAGGAGAATTTTATTTCAATAAAATTAAAATCAGATTTAGATGAAGGGTGTGGTAGCTTCTAATACCCTGTTTCTAGTTCAAAGACACTCAAAAAGAGGTTTAGTTCATGTTTATGCTATTTGGATGCTAACCTTGACCTAGGATGACCAAACCTACTTAACCAATTCTTTCAAGCCTTGATTCAATTTCAAAAGACTAAATATTAAAAAGAGGTTATCTTTAAACATAATCAAACATTCTTCTATAAGACAACAACAAAATGATCAGGAAAACATTTTTCTTGTTTGGTTAGAGAGGGAAAAAAAGGAAAATGGAAGAAAAGGAAAATAAGAAGGCAAAATGTACAAAGAGGTGAGAAAACCAAATTACTTCCATTTAATGAGAAAAATGAGGAAAAATCATTTTCTTTTCTTTTCCTTCCAAATTCTTTGAAGCAAATATAGTGTAAAAGTTAATCACTGCCACACTTTTTAAATTTGCAGAGTATTGACCATCTAGACAAATGAAAAAAATTATTATAATCAATAAGATTTAAATCAAATTGAGACTACAAGGAACAAAGTATGTCGGCTTGTGTACCATATCTCTATTCAATGTGGACTTTGCAGTTGACCTCCCTTCAAAATAAAATAAACTATCATATTGGTGAGCAACATGAAAACATTATATTGCAAAAAAAAAAAAGAGCAAAAGGTTGTAGTTGCCTGACCTTTTGCACAAAAAATAGAAGATCCATTTTGTATGCAATGCCAACAACATTCTCTATATGCTGCTCGAAAACATGCACATTACCAGAACAAACTTATTTTCATTAGTAACTTGAAAGGAAATTAGTATTAAAATTAAGATAAGAAGAATTTTTTTTAAAAAAAAAACATCATGAGTGAGATTTTAAAATTGGAACAAGGTTAGTTTTTTTAATGGAAAATCAATCACAAATCAGTGGTAGCCAATACCTTATTTGGATCGATTAAAATATAGTTGCTCACCTTTGACAACCTTTATATTGTAAATTATTCTAAGAAAAAATTTATCCAACTTACATTTTCCAAACCTAAATGTTACTTTCTCTGGCCACCACAGAAATAAAGGGATTAAATTGCATAATAAATCATCAATTTAGACGGAGCGTTTCACTTTTTGGATGAAATCATTTGAATTTTAAATGTTCTCATATGAACCATTAGACTAAAGTGAACTGCGCCCTTTGGGTGCAAAAATTGATTTAAAAAAACAAAAACAAACATGAGGTGAATACAATCCCTTTTTTTAATTAGCATAATGAATAAGTATTTACTTCAAAAGTATACAAAATGTGTTTGAGAGAAAAAGGACCAAATTTTTTTTAGGAAAACACGTAAATCATCCATAGAACAAAAATAGTTATAGAAGTGAGTATACTAAGGGGCTGTTTGGCAACTTCTGAATAGGTAAGTGCTGAACTAGTAAGAGATCTGAACCATTAAGTGCTGAACCAGTAAGATGTCTGAACCATTAAGAGCTAGTATATTGGTTAACTATTCAGAGGCAAATGTCTGATCAATTCAGATAAGAGGTCTTAACCATTGAGACTCTGTATAATACTCCGTACTTAACCATTCAAAGGCAAATGTCTGAACCATTCAGACATCTGAACCATTAAGAGGCTGAAACAAACAGTCTGAACTATTAAGTGTTGAACCATTCAGACATCTGAACCATTAAGAGGCTGAAACAAACAGCCCCTAAAAGTTTATATCAAACACTAATCTTGCAAGCATCTAGGCCACTAACCCACAAAACCTATGAACAACAAATAGAAGAACGAAATCATTAATAAATCATATGAATAAGCACTGATATTATATTTTTTTGAAAAAGTAAGATTTGAAAATCCCAAAAGCTGTCATACCTAAAGAAAATTGCAAAAGGGGACGATGTATTATCCGTTTGCTGTGGATAGATTATATGGAAGATCAAAATTCCCCTCGACAATTACCCCATAACTAATCAAATACTGAAAACTATTTGAAAACCTCAAAATACACGAGAGTAGTTTGTTGAAATCTGACAGTAGAAGCGGCTGGAACATGGTAGGCAATAGCGTGGAGGTGTTGTCGGCATGGAGTTTTTGTTGGACACGGCTTATATCTACGCTAGCATGAGAGTATGAAAAGTCAAGCGATTGGATGCTTCTCTAGAACCCCAATGCGTACCATCGCTTCTAAATTGACGGATGTTAAATCATAGAGGATATTTTTGGGAGAAAAAGTAAAGGTACAACTTTTTAAGCACGGTGTACAAAAGAAATGGATGGGAAGAGTGCATCTTTACCTCCTTCCCATTTATATATATATATATATATAATATATATATATATATAGGGGCCGGTTCCTGTGAGAATGACTCTTGGTGAAAGAAATGAGAATAAATGATATGCATTGATATTCTAGATCTAGGGGTCTAAAATTGATCTAAAGAGTGGCGCCATTTATTAATTAATATGGTAAATAGCATTAATTTATGAATGGAATAATGGCTAAGGGGCATTATTGTACTCATTGAAAAAGGGCGTGCAGTGGAGTTCCACTTTTTTAGCCGTAATTATTGGAGGAGTTATCATAGAAGTATTAATCATTCCTTTAATAACCAGCCTTTTTTCTATTTTTAATTTGTGAATTGTTTTTATTTTATAAAAATTAATTATGAATGATCTTTACTATTGAATTCTTTGTAATATTTTCTTTCATTTTTGCTTTATTTAATGCATTACCCACGTTGCAAGAGATTTATTTATTTACATTTATTTTTTTGAAATTAAGTAATAGGTGGTCTATAATATTTTCATTTTTTATATTTAACATCCTAGTTTTTTTAAATTTTCATCACATTCTTTAAAATTGATATCAATAAGTTTTTTTTCTCACGTGATAGTTTTATTATCTGTATGCACCATTCTCATATACAAATGCAATGCATATTATATATTATGCATGTATTGTTGATTTATCCGGGTGACCTTGTATGTGTTGAAAAAGCTTGAGAATGCATTGTACTATGTATTTTTAACAAACGTAATATAGATTTGGGAAAATAGTTTGCGCGGGATTCGAACTCACATCCATAGTATATACTGCTCTACCATTTGAGCTAATAGGCAACAATATTTTTTTTCAAAGAGACTATAATCTTCTCTTGAGAATTATTAAAAATACTAAATAATATTTTAAAATATACATCATTCAACGTTTTTCAAACATATATTCAAATTTGACCTAGAACACTTTTATGCATCATGATTTTTAAAAAAATTGCTATGCAAAGTATACAAGTGCATCATATTTGGTTCAAGAGAATTCTAATATCAGATGCATCAAATTTGATTATTAAAATGTACAAGAACAGAATGCATTTCATTTACCTTGATTATGAGAATGTAATGCCTTGTCATGAAAATGCATTACCGTAGTTTTGTAGATGCAAAGTATCATACAAAAGCAAACAAAAAGTGAAAATGATGGAAGAAAATGAATGCAGAAATGTACACCGCTAATATTGCCAGGGCCAAAAAAGTTTTAACAAAATAACATAAAAAGTAAAAAAAGGACTAGAAAATAAAAGCAGCAATGCACACCCCCAACAAGATGTGGCACCATAGCAGTAATCAGGGGGTGATGCAACAATTTAATGTATGTGTATGAACATGTCGATTTCTGTAGCATTGCCTTGATATGTTTGAATATGGAATTTCACCAATTTATGAAGTGCATAAGATGTGAATATAACAGTATTTGTTATGATCAGTTAAATTACAGAATAGTAACAATAATATATAATGAGCAACATCAACACATAATAACATGAGACATTACTCATCGATCACCTAATCCCATTCCCAACAAAAAACTATTACATGCATTGATAAAAGCACACAATCACGCTGCAATACACAATTGGGAGCTAAATAATTCAATATACATGTATAATATTCACTACAATGTTCTTAGGATTTAATAAAATAAAGAGTATTTAGCATTTTTATATATCAGACTCGATTCTACAAAATATGCAGTAAAAATGCTATATAATGCACTGAGTATTTTATAAAATGCATAGTGTGAGGATTTACATAGCAGTGTAAAGAATCATCTTGGTTATCTTCCTCAAGAAGAAAAGTCACACAAGAATAATGTGTAAAGATATATTTCTTGCACCATTATATTTTTTATGCATAAAAAATGATATTTATCTTCAAGTTCTTTATAAGCATAAAAATACACTTCTACACAACCAAGGTGATACTGTGCAAAAATTAAAAATGTAGTCTTTACATATGCAGATGCAGTACTATCTAAACAGAATGCATTATTGTGCAAAAAGTATAAAATATGAAATGAAAAAAATTATAATGGATATCACTGATAATAGAAAACTAGAAGAGGATTGTACAAAATAAAATAAAAATGCTATAACCAAAAATAAAATATGAAATTGACTCAAAATAGAAGGCTAGAAGTACATTGCACCAAATAAATCTTTGGGACATTTTATCAAACATGTGGCTTGCAAACATATACTCTAATGATTCAACACTAACTTTACACAAAAGAAATTGATTGAAGTTATAATAAAAAGAAAGAGAAAAAAGAAGATTAAACCCAATTGTATGGATGGAAGCAAAATTAAACTGCTACCATACCTTTCCATGTTTTATTTTATCCTTAACCGTCAATCGAATGAAAAGCTTTGCCTCCATTGTTGTCCCTGCAATCTGCATCTCGCAACCCCGATTCGCACTATGTTTAAAGAAAGAACTCAAATCAAAGAATTCCTGAAATTCAACAACAAAAAAATTGAAATCCTGAGATGGAAGGAATTAACTATTAATTATGGCAAATATTGAAGAACATCAATGGGAAAAAGAGTTAACCAGTGAAAGAAGAAGATGGTAATTGACTTGAGAGGATTTTACGGAAAAGATAGGAGAGAGAGGATAGAGTCAGATAGCGATTGAGTTGTATAAACCCAAAAAAGCCCATGAGATCTAATGGTGTAAATTTATTCTTATTTTTTTCATAAGATATCATTCTCACCGGAACCAAAATACTGTCTTCTGACCTTTGACCTTCAGTTTCATCTTCGCCCATCGCACCGGCACCGGCCCACGCCATCGGTGGTTGCCCATCGTCGCGTCGTCCGTCGCAACTCGAAGTCTTTAATCTTCTTCCAGACCGCTACAGCCTCACCGACCGCCCAATCATGGCCCAACAGGTTTTTTTCTGTTCAAACAAGTTAATAATAATTTATAGAGTAAATTCCATAAAAGGTCCCCAGTTATATGTCGTTTTACATATTTAGTAACTACATATCAAATATTACTAATTTAGTCCCCAATTATTATATTTATTTCCATGAATGGTCCTTTGTTAACATTTTTCGTCAAAAACGTGGGTAAAATTATAAATTCACACTCCTTTTCTCCTCAATTAAGCTTCCCTCCTCCCTTGCACACTTTTCTCAAACCCGTCGCTGAGTTTCTAGCTTTGAACCCTAAACCAAAATCATCACTCTTCTCTCAATTGTTTGTCTAAGTGGAGGAACGATCATTTAAGTTTTGGGTTTAAGAAATTCAAACTCAGTGACGAGTTTGGAATAGAGTATGAGAAAATGGAAGAAGCTTAATTGAAGAGAGAGAGAAGTATGAATATACAATTTTGTCCACGTTCTTAACGGAAATGTTAACAAAGGACCATTCGTGAAAATAAATATAATAATTGGGGACTAAATTAGTAATATTTGATATGTAGAGACTAAATATGAAACGACCTATAACTGGGGATCTTTTATATAATTTACTCTAATTTATAATTTATTGATGATTAGTTTCTTTCATGTGAAGATTGAAGGTAATTGCAAACGGTGTAGAATCATATTCTACTAGAGTGATTTGATTTTTGGGTCTTCATATTTTGAGGGATTGTTATTTAATATGCAAATAATGCAATTATTGCTTGTTTTCTGTTATTTGTTTGTAATTATAAATAGAAATTGGACAAATAATTTTTTAAGGTAAAATTCACTCTATATTACGGAGCATTTTTTTGTTATTTACTCCATAATAATTAGTAGAGGTTAAAAATACTCCCTCCGTCTCTTAAAATTTTTCCTTTTTGAAATTTTTTGTTAAACAATGACACTCTTTGAAGATAAATTGAGCATAATTTAAATAAATGAATGTTATAGAAATTTTATATATCAAAACTACTCCCTCGATCCCATAAAACATTTCTCCTTTCTTTTTTCATCTGTTCTATAAAGCATTTCTCATTTCTATTAATAAGTCACTTTTATCCCTATTAATTATTAATCTACATATCACATCACATTTTTTCATTATTAATCTATCATCATATCCTACTTTTATCCATCACATCCAAGAGTATTTTTTGAAACTCAATAATAAAATACACTCCTCTTAAATTCTTTAAAGATCAAAACCAGAAACGTTTTGTGAGACGGAGGGAGTATATCCTAAGATAAATCTAATTATATTAAATTTGTATTATAATGCTATATACTTTTCTCACTATTTGTAGTCTTAGAGTATCACCCTTTGACCAAAATAAGTTGAGAAAGAATTTTTAGAGCTGAATAGAGTATATGTCAAGGAACCAACTCAACCAAAATCTCAAGCTTGTAGTTGTGGCCCAGGAACATTTATTTATATTCTAACACGCCCCCTCACGTGCATGCGTAGTCTTTTTTTTAGCCTTGCACGTGAAACCTTAATTTTTTTAAACTGGGTGGCGCTAAGTTTCGAACCCGTGACCTCTTAGTCAACGAGGCTCTGATACCATGTCAAGGAACCAACTCAACCAAAAGCTCAAGCTTGTAATTGTGGCCCAGGAACATTTATTTATATTCTAACAGTATATTATTTGAAAACTAAAATATTTTTTTTGGATGAATGAAAACTGAAAATAAAAAGTAATATCAAACTTTGGGATACCACTGACCTATTCAGAACCTTGGGAACCATTTTACTCGTACAATTTTAGAGCATCTGAAACTATGAACTGGGTAGTGGCCACATTATTGCATACATACAGAATATTAATTAAACCGAATAGAGATGTGCGGGTAGTCTTGGTTCAATGATGAAAGACAGCGGGAACTTGGGGTGAGTGGTCAAGCCATAAACCGCTTCCACCGATACATCGTGTGGTTTCATGTCTCCAGCTAACTTCCAGCTAAACCCGTGCAGCAGATTGGCTAATGTCGCCCGCACAATCTTCATTTCCAGGCCTGGATAGCCCGGGCACTTCCTCCTACCCGACCCAAACGGCAACAGTCTAAAGTCTTGTCCTTTTACGTCCACCTCCTTCCCCTAAAACCTCTCCGGGTAGAACTCCTCCGCTCTTTCCCAAACCTTTGGGTTCCTTCCGATAGACCAGACGTTCACGAGAACAGTGGTCCCCCTCGCCACCGCGACATTGCAATCCTCCATGGAGTAGTGTGGCGGAAGCAGTGTGCCGAGCGGGTGCAACCTGAATGTTTCTCTTATGATTGCTTCCACGTACGGTAGCTGCGGAAAGTGTTTCTCTTCTACCCATCTCTCCCGCCCGATCACTCTATCCAGCTCCTCGGTTGCCCTTTCTATGACGCTTGGGTTCCTGAGCAATTCTTGGAATGCCCATTCTACTGATGCTGCTGATGTATCACTCCCTCCCGCCAACCAATGTTTTGAAAACCGGACCGGACATTGACCCGGAGGAGGGAGTGAGTCAAGGGCTAACCGGTCGAACCGGTCAACTCCCACCCGCGGCGCCACCATGATCCATAAGGAGACCACGCCAGATCGGACCGGTCAAAGGTGTGCTCTCCCACGGCCGTAGGAGGCCGAGAGGCAAACACCGCATCGTGGTCTTTCAAGAAAAGTTTAGCGGACTCGGGAGACGAGGCAACTAACACAGGTTTGGAACCAAAGTGCAAGAGCATCAAATCTCCATATTTTTGAGACAGCAAGTGCAGAGATTCATGAGGAGATGAGCCTGTGAGGAGATTCAAATTGCCAATGATAGGCCATGGCCGTGGACCAGGTGGAGTCTTAGCTTGTGGGCGTTGATGTACGAACCATATTATGAATAGAACTCCTACGCCGAGAATCCATGGAAGAAGGGCCTCAAAAACCAAAGGTAGATCCATGGATGACTGTGTATAGTAGATCGAGTAGTGTCCTATCACCTATGCTGTGATTATAATGCATCTGGCCGGCATGCATGTATGTATTTACTCTTTGTGCATGATTGATCTGCCCGCAACAAAAAAAAACAAACAAACAAATGCGCCAGTCTTTTTCATCGTACATGTATGTAAGGTCAGACAGTTGTAACGCAAGGCTCTAAACGCATCAATGGGTACTTGTAGTTATCAGTCCCTCTCGAACAGAAAAAGACTCTTAGTTGGAGACTTGGAGTTACTCATATCTGTTTCGCAAAATTAAACATTTTTACCTCACTTAAAATGTTTAAAATAAACCTCCATTTCGTAGTTTATTGTGGATAGAACTTGTTTTGATGGTTTTTTTAGACATTTTAGGTGGAATAAAAGTATTTTATGGGGTGCACAAAAAATTAGGACGGAAGTACTCTATGAAACGGGGGAGTAGCATTTAAGAAAATTAAGAATATAAAAGGCAAGTTTGTGAAGTTTGTAAATTATTTATTTGTGACTCTTGCATTTTCCAAGAATATATTGTTGAAAGTAATGTAATACTTTGTCCCTGATTATTTGTTCAGTTTTGACTTTTTTCGGTCAATTGTTTTCAACCTTTGACCTATAATTAAATACTCCGTAAAATATATATTGTATTTTAATAAAATAAAATAATATTTTGAAAATAATTGCTATAATAAATCTAATAATACTCTTTTTGTACCAATATTTAATATCATTTTTATTTAATTTGGGGTCAAAGTTTACAAATTTTGACCAAAAAAAAGTCAAAAGTGAACAAATAAATACTTGGACGGAGGGAGTGAGAGAAAAAGACTGCCATCCATTCAAATTTCCCCCAAAAAAAAAGGTAAGAGGAGACATTTTTTAGGAGTCTCGGAAAACAAAATAAGTAGTTCTAGGAGTATGATTTATGATTGTTCAAAAATATTGAATCCATTCATGATTAGGCCATGTATGTATCCAATTTGGTATTTTACCTTTGGGATATTTCGAATATGATATCCAATAAAATTAGGTCGGACATGAAATGCTATTTTAAATGGGAAGAAGGGCCAAAGTAGTAGTAAAATATATGACTTATCTTCAAAATAAGAGTTGAAACATAAACTTCCTTAAATAGGAGTGATTAACTTAATTAATCTAATGGCTTAGAGGTAAGGAGTAAAATAGAAGTAAAATATTGATCACGTACAAAAATAGAAGTTATATCATATATTCCCTCCGTCCCATAGTATTTGTTCACTTTCATTTTTACACACCATCCAATGCACTTCTTTAATCCATTTTATCTTGTAATTTGTATATTAAAAAATTATAGAAATTATATATTAATAATCTATATGTTAAGACAAATCAAACAAGATCACACATGACTATATTTAGGCTTACACATTGAGAGAATTTGATGAGTCAAAGTGCTTAGATGAACAGTTCCAAAAGTCAAAAGTGGACGAATACAGTGGG